AATATGGATCTCTTCCAATCAGTCGGCCAGATAGTTGTCTTCCAAATTTCTTGGCAGAGATGAGTGAGTGCCTCCTGTGCCGCCTCACTTTCTTGAAACATTTCAATTTTTATTCCATCAATTCCTGGTGACTTGTTCTTTGCCAATTCCTTCAATGCACCTTAGACTTCCTTCTTCAGTAATCTTATGAGTAAGGGATGGAAATTTAAATGCATTTATATAATCGTTATGAATGTCTCCCTTTAATTTATTGGGGAAAAAGTTGAAATATAACAAGGTGCAAATATTAAGGCGCTTGTATTGAGCTCTTAGCTGCTAATTCAAAGATCGTGATTCAAATTTACCAGCTGTTCTGCTGTAAAAGATGAAGCAGTCTGCTTCCATAATGATTGTAGCCTTGGAAACCATATTGGGCAGTTCTATACTCTGGTAGTGTAGTGAATTGGGCTGCGAACCTTAAGGTCAGTAGTGCGAAACTACCAGCTGTTCCGTGGAAGAAAGATGAGGCTTTCTGCTCCTGTAAAGATTTCCAGCCTCAAAAACTCTGTACAGGGTCGCTATGAGTCAGAACCGACTCCACGGCACATAACCACCACCACCACCACCACCACACTGTCCAACAGGGTCATTTTGAGTTGGAGTCAACTCAATAGAAAGGATTCATTTTTGTGTTTGTTTTATCCTGGCTTTATTTTCATCATTAAATGAATTACTCACAAATGTAGTAACTAACTTGAACATCTCTGATTTGATGTCTTGACAGTGGGAGGGTACTATACAGCAAGGAGTTCATCTTTTCAAACTGAAAGTTCACCAGTGTCAACCTTTTAATGAAAGTGGACACAATTTTTAATAATTAAAACTTTTATACACACTTTAAGCATTGAAACATTATAGAAACTTGTGCTTGTCCTTATTAAAGACGCATTCTGTGTGGTTTTGCTTGCTTTGATATTTTTTAAATCAAATTTTTAAAAAGTCATTATTTGGTGGGGGAGTGAATAAAATAATAATAAATAAAGAGCAGCAAAGAATAAACTTTTGGTGAAACCATAGAAGTATTTAATTGGCTTAAAGCAAAGTATGGTATTTTAACATTTTTAAACATTGAGTCTACCGAGACATGTCATCCACTTCATGAAGATTAGAATTTCTTTTACTTAAAGCATATGATAGATTGGGATGTTGGTGTGGCAGTGTAGGATCAGCAATGGACTGCTAACCACAAGGTTGGTTTTTAAATCCACTAGCTGCTCCTTGAAAATCCCATATAACGTCACTATGAGTCAGAAATGACTTGATGACATTTAACAGCAACAACATAGATGACTTTACATCAGCATATTTTCATGTATAAGCATACAAAAACTACTGGCTTTTTTTTTTTTTTTTAATTCTGTCTGCTCCTAATTTTCCTCATTATAGGTAAATCTATTTTATGAACCAGTTTTAGATGTCTCCAGGTTTTGAACAAGTTCAGAATACTTACAAGTTTCTCTATCAGTCATGGTCTAGTCAGAAGACAGATATCATATGAATGTATTTAACAGGGAACATTGATATAAAGAATTAGTAACTTATCAGAAAATTAATTAGTAAGAGAAAATAAAAAAGAACCCTTAAGAATAACCCATGGCTGAAGACTATCCAATGAAGGAATAAATTTAGAAGAGTGTATCCCAGGACTTTAAGACTTCTTTGTATAGTGTATGAATGTGGCCCACTGAATGGGGAGGAGTTTTTGGGTTGCCCAAGGCCAAAGGTGTTCAAGACGGTGCACCAAAGCTAATGAGCAGAGGATTTCAGCCTGAGACCAGCAACAAAACTCACTGAATGGTGAGTGTCAGTGAAACTACTGGTCCAACAAAGTATAAAACCATTGTTCTTGTAATTGTGGCACTGTGGGCTAATGCATCTGACTGCAAAGTCATTTGAACTGTAAGTTCAGTGGTTCAAGCTCACCAACTGGTCCTTGGAAACCCTATACAGGGTCGCTATGGGTTGGAATTGACTCAACGATACTTCACAACAACAACCCTTATATAGAGTTAGATCTGGCACCATAAGAAAAGCCGTAGGCTGCTAACCACAAGGTTGGCTGTTCAAACCCACCAACTGCTCCCTTGAAATCTTGTACAGGGTCACTGTAAGTCAAAATTGACTCAAAAGCACTAAACATTAACCCTTACATTTCTCACTTAGATGATCTTTGTTTGTGTTTTTTTTTAATGCAGCAAGGGTTTTGGAAAAATAAACTTGAAAACTCGAATCAACACCAATACAAATCCTAATAGTCTCCAGAGTTTAAAAAAGAGATCCAACTCGGGTCCAGGTAGCCAATTTGGAATATATGTTTTAACATTGATTCTTTGTTACTAAATACTTCAAATGCACATTGTTTCACATGTACATTTCACACAGACTAAAAGCTAATGTTGAAATAAATTTGGCTTTGCAGATTTTCTGTTCTTTTCTATAGCTTATAATCTTTGAGGAAACTGGAATTATCCTAACAGGTCAGGAAATGTTCAATAAATGTAACTTTGAGGTAGAGGTTCCTCGTTAACTATAATTCCATATTTTAAAGGATTAAATTTCTATTTTTAAATTGTACTCATTTGTATAGAATGTTTTTCAAGCATTGTAGTTAGAAATGTCATAAAATCAGGAAAATGATTTTTATGCCACAGAAAAGAACCAGAGTAAGTTTCCATTTCCCCCCGTTACATTTGTATTTAGCTGTAACAAAAGCAGTGAATTCATGAATACTATCTGTTTAGCAATTCTATAATTTATATCTAGAAAGATAATCATATGAACAAAAATATAGATTTTTCATGGTTATTGTTTTAACTTTTGTTTGGGTGATACTGGGTAAAGACTTTCTAGCAGTCATTAAATACTCTCTATGTCAGCTTCTTCATTACTTTCTCCATGAATGAGATATATCACAAGAATACTATAAATATCTTTGTCTAAAGAGTATTGATTTGATGATTTTGAAAGAATTTTGTCTTAATGCAGGGAATCCCTTACTGCTAGTGGCAGGAGTCCTGGTGTGGCTTTGTAGGATGAGCACTAAACTGCAAGGTCATTTTGAACCACAAAGTCAGCAGCTCAAACTCACCAGATGCTCCTTGGAAACCATATACAGGGTTGCTATATGTTGGAACCAACTCGACAGCACTTAATAACACGCAACAGTGGCATTTCAGTAATTTTCTTGGGCTTCAGATAATGAGTCAAAATTTTCCTTATGGCAACTTTCATATCCTTGTTTCTCAATGTATAAATAATGGGATTCAGAATAGGGGTGAAAATGGTGTAAAATATAGCTAGGACTTTATCCACGGGATAGGTAGTAAAGGGCCATAAATAGATGAAGAGGCAAGGTCCATAGAATAATATTACCACCATGATATGGGCAGCCAGTGTAGAAAATGCCTTGGCCATTGCAGCAGAAGACTTAAACCAGACAGTGACAAGAATAATAACATAAGAGCAGATCAAGAAAAAAAAAGTACTTAGAGAAACTAATCCACTGTTGACCACAATTAGTATTTCAATGATATAAGAGTCCATGCAGGCAAGCTTGGTCACTCGAGGAAGGTCACAAAAAAAGCTGTCTACAACATTGGGTCCGCAAAAAGGCAAGTTCACAGCAAATGATGACTGGGTCAATGTGTGCAACAAGCCCACAAACCAGGAGATCATTACCAAGACATTGCAAGTCCTCCGGTTCATGATGACCACATAGTGTAGTGGTTTACATATGGCTACGTATCTGTCATAAGCCATGGAGACAAGTAACACCATCTCCCCCCCAGTAAAAAGGTGGATGAAGAAAATCTGGGCTATGCAGCTGTTGAAGGAGATGGTCTTATGTTCGCTCAAAAAATCTGCAATCATTTTAGGGGTAGCAAAGGAAGATTGACAGATGTCAACAAAGGAGAGGTTTCCCAAGAGGAAGTACATGGGAGAGTGCAAGCTGGAGTCAGAAGTCACAGTGAGGATAATCAGGAGGTTTCCCAGTATAATGGCCACATACAACACAGAGAAGAAAATGAAAAAGAAAAGCTGGAGCTCTTGTGAACTGGAGAGTCCCAGCAACACAAATTCAGACACCATCGAAAAGTTATCCCTATCCATGGACCCAAGTTGCATGCTTGCTCTGAAACAACCCTAAGGGAAGAAAAATAGGGAGAGATCAATTTATGAACTAAAACCATTTTCAATGTGAATAATTCTGTAATATCAAATATAGTGTGCATTAGCTGAACACAACAATTTTGACATCGCAATGATATATATGGAGAGAAGTAATGAGCCTATGAAAATGTCTAAATAAAACTTAAAATTTGATCAGTCTCATTAAGGAGCCTTGGCTTTTGAATAGTCACAGTAATAAATTGGTTCACCTGTGAGCTGAGTTGTTCTCACAAAACTTGAAGAGGAACTTCAGGTCCAATTCATTAGGTTTTAAAGATTGGCAAAGATATTTTAGATGTGTTGGTCTTGTGATTATTTTCCATTATCAATTTTAATAAATCTAAGTACAATATTCTTTTAAATTCTGTAAGACATATATATGATTTGATGCTTACTAGTTATATGACATTGAGCTACTTCATTTTTCTGAGCTCAGATTTCCATATCTTGCAATAGGTTTTCCACATCTTCAAATAACCTGTGGAAATGATTTATTTAAAATAACTTAAATAAAGCATTCATGTTTTAACATGATAAAACATTATAACTCTTTTTTTCTATCAAAGTATTTGTAATACAATAAATATTCCTAATATGTTGTTGTTAGCTACCATCAAGTAGAACCAATCCATAGGGTTTCCTTCTCTCTAATTTTTATGGAAGTAGATTGCAACCCTTTTATTCCAAGGTATAGCTGGGTGGGCTTGAACTGCCAATCTTTAGATTAGCATCTAAGCACAAACACTTTGCCCCACCTAGGGATTTTCTTAATATGTTAAATAATAGTACATTAACACAAATTCTTCTTATTGTTGTTGCAGAAATCATAAGCAATTTAGAAAACTCTCAGATCAATGAGATTCTGTTGGGTGTAATTAACCAAGTTTATAATAATAACTCCATTTATGATTTATTCTTTTGTGTAATTTTTAATGCATATTATACCTTAACCTTAATTGCCTAGAACTTATTTTACCTGATTATCCAAGATTAGTACCTTAATGTTTCATTTTCTTTACCTGCCAAATTCAAATTTGGATCAATTTATATTCCCCTTGTTTACTTTTCCCCATGGCTAATTTAATATATCTTTTAAATTAATAAAAGAAAACAATTATTTTAGGATCTTGGTTTTGCATTGTTGTTGTTGTTAAGTGCTGTAAAGTTGGTTCCAACTCATGGCGAGTTTGTATAGCATTTCCAAGACCATACATCTTATCAGGAACAGAAAACCTCATCTTTTTCCCTTGGAATAGCTGGTCAGTTTGAATCCCCTGTGGTTCCTAATCCAGTGATTAGACTGCAAACATGTCATTCTCCTAAAAAATCGATTTGTTTGGAGCCTAATTAATTCTAATAATTCAATTATTCATCACTTTCTTTTTTCTGTAAGGATACAGTCTACTATATAGATATGGAGTCCTGGTGCAGTGTTGTGCACTAATGTGCTGGACTGCAAGGTTGGTTTTAACCACAAAGTCAGTGGTCCAAGTTCACCAGTTGGTCCTTGAAAACTCTATAGAGGGTCACTATGGGTCAGAACTGAAACGACGGTACACAGCAACAACAAATATAAAACTAGGTTGGTTGACCTGGTAAAAGTCTAAAAGATATTATTTAAGTAAAATATTATTTCTGACAATTAATTGTTGACTCAGTCATAAGTGGATGATTTCAGCCCTAATTAAGAGCACCCCCTTCTTACATGGCTTACTTATTTCATACAGGAAGCAATGTGTTTTCTGTGTCTAGTATATACAACTATAGCCACTCTTATAGCATGGTGGTTATGAGTTGAGCTGCTAACCTAAGGGTCAGCAGTTCAAAACTTACAGCAGTTGCGAGGGAGAACAATGAGGCTTTCTGCTCCCATAAAGATTTACAGCCTCAGAAACCCTATACAGGGTTGCTATGAGTCAGAAACAACTCCACAGCACACCACCACCACCACCATAGGCACTATACACTATATACATCTTAGTTCTTCTATGGGACTGTGGGATAAGGTACTGGACTACAAGGTTAGTTTGAACTGCAAGGTAAGTGGTTCAAACTCACCAGCCACTCCTTGCAAACCCTATACAGGGTCACTACAAGTTGGAACCGACTTGGTGACACTTAACAACAACAGCAAAGCCACTCATATAGATTGATAAGATTACACTCCACATAGGAAAACCTGAGGTAGAGAATTGTTTCATGCACTCTTATTTGCAGTAACTTTCTGAGAAGCATTTCATTTGCCCACACTTTGAATGATACCTTGTTTGTATACTCTGAAAGAAGAGCAAAAATTTCAATTGACTCAAAATAACTGTGTAAATTGTATTAGCAACCATAATAAAAATGAGCCATCAACACCCATGGAAGAGTCAAGAAATAAAAGGATGTGTTGCTTTAGGCAAATCTGCAGAAAAAGACTTGTTTAAAGTGTTCCAGAGTAACAATGTCATTTTGAGGACTAAGGTGCACCTGATCCAAAACATGATATTTTTAATTTCCTCATGTGCATGCAAAAGTTGTACAATGAATAAGGAAGATGGTAGAATTGAAGCATTTGAATTATGGTGTTGGAAAAGATTATCAAAACTACCATGGAAAAGAAGAACAAGCAAATCTGTGTTGGAAGAAGTATGGACAGAACGTTCTTTAGAAGCTAGGATGTCAAGAATTTGTATCTCATACACTGGACATGCTATCAGAAAGAACAAGTCCCTGGAGAAAGACATGATGCTTGGTAAAGTGGAGGATCAGTGAAAAAAAGGAAGACCTTCAAGGAAATGTATTGTTATAGTGGCAGCAGAAATGGGCTCAAACATAGTAACAATTAGGAGAATGGCTCAGGACGGGACAATGTTTCATTCTGTTGTACAAAGGTAGCTATGAGTCAGAACCAACTCAATGGCACCTAACAACAATGATATAAGGGAAGGATAGTTTAGGGGATACTGAAACACAACACAAATTATTCTATCATTTTATTCCAAGTGCAACTTGTTTCTTTTCTGATCTCCAATTCTGTTCTCCAAAGGAGCTTACATGGCACAGTGGTTAAGTACTCGGCTGCTAGTCATAGGTTGAACATTTGATCTCACCAGTGGCATTGCAGAAGAAAGGGGTATCAGTTGCTTTAATAAAGATTATAACCTTGGAAACTCAGTAGGGTTGTTTTGCTTAAGTGTACAGAGTTGCTATTACTTGCTATGCCATGGTTTTAGTTTTTGTATTTTCTCTATTTCTATAATAAAATTGTTCTTGTTTTCATGCTCATGGATTTATTATGTTAGATTACCATCTCCATCAAATGAGTGCATTATATGAGTATAATATGTGGAAGCCTAAAAAAATAAGGCAGGTTTCCAGTAAATGTTGGATAATATTTTTAAATCTGCAAAAAGAGAAAAACAGAGTAGAAAGACATTTAGATTTGAGAAACGTCTGGGTGTCAGTTATTAGGTTAGGTGGTCCCATGCATGTATGTTGTATCAGGAACACAGTGAGTCTGTAGTATAAACACTGGAGTGTGAACCACAAGGTTGGTGGTTTGAGCCCACCAGCCATTTCTTGGTGGGAGAGAAATGAGCCTTTCTGCTCCCGCATAGATTTACAGCCAGGACAGGTACTTAACAACAACAGCAGTATGCTATATCAAGCAATTCTCATAACATATATGAGGAGCACATTATTACTCCTGACTTGCAGAGAAGAAACCTAAGATCAGACAGATCTTAATCCCCAGGCTGTTAGACAGCTAGTTGTTGTTAAATGCTGTCAAGTCAGTTCTGACTCATAGTGATCATATATAAGGTTGCCAAGGTAAGCTTGAACTGCTGACCTTGTAGTTCAAACCAGCCTTACAGTCCAGCACATTAACCTGCAGCACCACATCAGGACAGCTAGCAAGTGTTGCAAAATCTGAGCCGAGGTTTGAAATCATATAATAATAATAATATATTAACATTTACTAAACATCAGAAAAATGTCAGGCACTGTTGTTAGTACTTTACATACATTAACTGAATCCTCCCATAACAGTACGTGGGAAATACACTTACAAATCCCATTTTACCAAAGGAAACTAGAGCCCCAGAGATGCTATGTAACTTGCCAAGAGCTACACAGCCTGAATTAGGACTCCGGAACTAATCCCTTCAGCACTACATTATAT